GAAAAATAATTCATGGAAACTAAACAGTACATAATGAGGGAATTGTAGCCAAATCAAAGGGTGTACTAGGAGAAGAGCAGAGTTGATTAAAAAAAAAAGACAAATCATTTTGGTGTTTGTATTAAAGAATATGAGTGAAAGTTTCTGAAGAATTGGACGAATCTGTTCATGACAGTTATGGTTCTAGAAAAAGCTTATAGTATGATGCATAATGTCATGAAGACTGTTCAGCATTTTTATGAACGGGGTAACAAAAGAGGTGAAATCAAGAGTAAAGGAGTAGATAATGGTACAGGAAATAAATGGGTGGTGGTCAACTGCTGTTTGCAGATAACACTTATCTAGCAGACAACTTGGTAGAAAAAATTGCAAATGTTAGAGAATAAGTTTCGGAAAATGCAAGGAAGGAGAAACTTAACAGATAATATGAACAAAAGAAAGGTGATGAACAGAAGTAGACATGGGGAGAATTTAATGGAGGTATCAGTAAATGGAATCGTGAGTAATGTATTGAACCACAAAAAGGAAAGATGGTGATTGGTGAACTGAGAAATGAATGAAGTGTGAACCAAATCAAAATAGAGCAAAGATGGGGGGTTTTCAGTGGACTTGTTGAATACAAGAGAAAGAAGCAAAGAGAAATGACTTATTTGAGGGCATTTATTATGAGAGTTGAAAAGATTGTAGAGAATAATGATTATAGAAACAAGGAAGTGATGCATAAATGAGAAAAAAAAAAAAAAGAGGAAAACTGGAGATCAGGGTTTGCTGAGGTGTTATGGACACACTGTATCAACAGAATGGGAAGATAATTCAGAGTTGGATGGTAGGAGGGAAGGGAGAAGACTAAGGCAAGGTGGTAGCAATCCCTAGTCACACGCATAAGGTTGAGGGTTGAGTCCTGGCTGGTGAGGTCGTTGATTTATATATAAATATATATACAGCATTACCCAGCTTAACGCGGTTCCGCTTAGCGCGTTTTACCGTATACGCGGTGCCTCACCAGAGCCGAACTTTCACTTAACGCGTTTTTTTCCACGTATACGCGGTGAGTGTCCGGCTCGAGAGCTATTTTTAGATTCGCCCCACCCCCACCTTTGTGCAAAATATATGACATTTTATATTCAAAATATTCCTGGTCTTAAAGGAATCCAGCAATGTCAATTGTATTATCTAACTTTAGTTTGAGGTATTATTTATTAAAATTTAGTGGTTTTCCCCAAAAATTTCTCAGAGAGGGAAGAGCCAGCAGTAGTGTGAGAAGAGGGATGGAGTTGAGTCCATTATTTGAATGGACATTAACTTGGCGACTGTATTTCTCTATTTCTCTTAAGTATTAATTGTGTGCATGTACCATCATAAAATTAAGATGTTATTTTTACTAGAACATAGGTATTGTTTTGGAAAAAGTGGAGTTTGGGGTCGGGCCAGTTTCTATTGGAATTTATCCCATATGTTCTGTTGTTCACTTAGCGCGGTTTTCACTTAACACGGTACCCTGTGGGTTTTATTGACCGCGTTAAGCGGGGTACTACTGTATACAGTGGTCCCTCGGTTAACGAACGCCTCGGTTAACGAAATTTCGGTTAACGAATTACCTTCCATAAGAATCTTCAATTCGGTTAACAAAAAAAAATTGATTAACGAAATCCTTATGAAAATCACGTTTTGTTTTGAACATCAGCTGATAACCTGAGGAGGTACTCAGCCAATTCAGTAATATCTTCTATGTTTACATTCGTTTCCAATGGAGTAAATACTGTATCAAGAAAATTGTGCTCTTTAATATTTGTGTATTTTTTTATACCGTATCAAAATTATTGGTCATTCTAAAATTTAGCCATCCAAGCTCTGTCTACATAAAGTTTTTCAACTATTATTTTTGGCTCGATATGTGTAACTTTATTCATTTATTGAAACTCATTTACATGCGCACATTGTCCTAAGGGCAAAGCTGAACTATACATGTAATCAGAATAATGTACAAAATGATTACTAAAATTTTTGTCTAGTGCAAACTATTGCATGTTTACATTCAAATTAATAACTATCTTATAAGAATTCCAGCAATGTAAATTATATTCTCCCCGGTCATATCTATGGAATTTTATGAGCAAAAAGAAAAACTAAAAAAAAATTAATACTTCACCAGACACACTAACTGTCAAAGTACAACTCACCTCCCCTCCCCCCCCCTTTTCCCAGCTCTCTTGCTCGCTCCCCCTGCACCTGCCTCAGAAAAAGGTTTGGGGCTTTCCTGTAGGCTTACAGTGTTTATCTCATATAATTTCTCAGACTAAAGTTAGGAGATTATAATTTGCATTGCTGGAATCCTTGCAAGACAGTGAATAATTTGAATATAAACGTCATATATTTTGCACAAAAGATAAAATTTTTGCTCTTTCTTAAATGAAATACAGTACAGTAAAAGTAATCAATAATGAAGAATGAATACAGTGTTACTGTGCACTTACCTTTAATGTAGTCAGCTGAATGCACATGGGGCCCCCATAATTTTTTAATTATACATGGAGGCTACATTAACTAGATGAAGCAGAGGAGGAGACAGGGCTGGGTGGGTCATCAATGTCGCTTTCTTCAGGCAGGTTAACATACAGGGGAAACTTGCTTGTTGAAGGTATTGGACCATCTTTAGGGAGTGAAGAGGCAACACTAGTGGGGCGTGAGGAGACAGCACTGGGGGACTTCTTAAAATATATGTCCAATTTAGACTGCACAGTTTGCTTTTTCTTTTCATTGTAAATCTCCCTTTAGCAAGCAAGTGCATCTTGGATCATTCTGTCAACTTTTGCAAAACGCTCAACATTTTGATCCATTCCGTCATTTCCATCCCCTTATTAATCGTAGGAAATGCTTGTGCCATTTGTTTCACTGAAAATTTCTTTGTGGGTGCAGGTTCTTCTTCTACATTTTGACTCTCTTCTTCCTCTGCAATTTTCTGTGCTTCCAGTTCAATAAGATCCTCGTTACTTAGCTCTTCTGCTACACTTTCGACCAAATGCTCAACATCTTCAATATCAATTTCTAACTCCAGCTGCTTACCCAACTCCACTATCTTGTTACTAATCACAGAAATTACTTCATCTTCATTAAATCCTCTGAAACTGTTCACATATCTTTTCAGGACTTTCTTCCATATTCCATTCATGCACTGACCTGTAACCTGATCCCATGCTGCAGCTATGATCTTTATACATTTCAAAATGTTGTAGTCCTTCCAAAACTCTCTGAGCGTTTTCTCGCCTTCAGTAGCAGCAACAGCCTGAGCGAAGGTCGTACATAAATAATTCGCTTTAAAAGCAGCAATAGCACCTTGATCCATGGGTTGGATGATAGAGGTAGTGTTAAGTGGAATGTAGACTACCTTAACATCAGGGTGCAGGTCGTCCAGGTGTGGTGGGTGTCTGGAGCATTATCCCAAATTAACAAAATCTTGAATGCAATCCCTTGTTGCAGACAATACTCCTTGGTTCGTGGAATGAAACAAGTCAGGAACCAATCCTCAAACAGTACTAGGGTCATCCATGCTTTCTTATTACTGCTATAAAACAGTGGCAGTGTGTGCTTGTTGACATGTTTAAAAGCCCTTGGGTTCTCTGAATGATATATCATGAAGGGCTTAATTTTGAAACCAGCTACATTCCCCTCCAACAGAAGTGTGATACGGTCCTTGAATGCCTTGAATCCCGGCATTGTTTTCACCTCTTTGTGGATGTATGTCCGTTCTGGCATGCACTTCCAGAATAAGCCAGTTTCATCCACATTAAATATTTGCTCAGGCAAATAATTTCCTTTCACGATGACACGATCTAGCTCCTCTTTAAAAGCTTCAGCAACACCCACATCAACACTTGCTGCCTCTCCACTCACCTTTACACTGTGCAAACTGTAGCAGTTCTTAAACCTTTGGAACCACCCATGACTTGCTGTGAAGGTTTGGTCGCACTCATCGCCTGCCTGCTCCTTCAGGCTTTCGAAAAGGCTTCTTGCCTTAGCCTGTAGGGTTAGAAGGCTTAAGGGTACATGCTTTTGTATCTAATCTTCCATCCATATCACAAGTAATTTTTCCATCTCATGAATAGGACCTTGTCTTTTTTTCGTTACTAGTGTTCCCTTTATAGGTGCTGATCCTTTCACTACCTCACAAATTCGTTCCTTGTCCTTCAAAATTGTTGATATTGTCGAGTGAGAGAAGCCAAGGTCGAGTGAAATGGTTGCTACCATTTTTCCATTTTCATATTGCATTATTATTTTCATTTTCATCTCAAAAGTAATTGACTGTCTCTTTTTCTTCTGAGCACCACCAGCATTCTCACTTTTACGCTTGCCAGTCATTTTAAAGGGAATTAGAAACAAAAATATTGTCAGCACACAGAGCGAACACTAACGACAACAACGACGGCCAAACACCAACTGAGCGCGCTATGGCGTGGACGCTGTACACCAATAGGCAGCCCAGCCCACGCCACGGTGTCGTACAGGACGGAAACGTTTCGGTACGAGACAATACGTACAGAATTTGACAAATTTTTGGTACCAACTGCGGCGGTCGTATGTCCGGGTGTTCATAAGTCGAGTAGGTCTTAAGTCGAGGAGTACCTGTAAATTCCTTTGCCAATAAAAACCGGATTTTCAATTTTTGCTCACTGTAAATAAGTGTACAATGTGAAAATAACTTTCACAGAAACAAGCTACACAGCAGATATAAATAAACACATTTCATTCTGAAAACTTTTGTTTACGTCTGGTCTTGTCAATTGTACGTTCACGGTTGAATAGTTTGATTGTCTATGTAACTGTCCCGGCTGCGTAGATCAAGCTATTCAACCCATGATGGTTGAATGCCACTGTGTTTATAAATAATTGATAATCAAACACATAAAAAATATCCACTATTAACAAAACTTTGCCACTGCTTCAGGCAACTACACTTTAATACAAATATTCAATAATTAATAACTGCCAATTACTACTTACAGGGGGCCAAAATTACAAAATCATCCCACTTCAACTACCAGTATGTGCTGGGTCACAAGATAGTGTTTCTGTGTGTTGCCAGAGGTTCTCCATTACCACAGATAACATGGTTTAAAGATGGTGTTGAACTTTATGCTCACAGATATATGCAGGTAAGAGCAATCAATAAGATTATTATTCAGTGACCCTATAATTTGTAGAGATAATTCATTAAAATTCTTTAAATCTTAATTACTTGTAAATTATCTCATATTAATATCTCTGTTAGCCGGAAACCCTCAGACCCGGAACTCTCCGATAGCCGGAATTGAAATTTTCTCGGGAAATCGTTTCCAAAAGCCGGAACTTTTACGAAAATTCCAGCTTTGAGAACGATTTTCCAAGGGGCACATTTTCTGGAAAATTACAGGAGAATTTTCCCAATACCCAGAAAATTCCATGGATGGGGGAGTTTTTCCGGGTTTGAGAGATGAAAAACAGGCACATTTTCTGGAAATTCCAAGAAAAATTCCTGGGATGGAGGATATTTTTCCAGGTTAGAGAGATGAAGTAATAGACAATTTCTGGAACTTCCGAGTGCAAGAGCACTCTATCGGGTAGTGCTAACCGGGATATTACTGTAGTAATAGAGGTACGTACAGGTACCCACAAATTTAAAAACATTAATTTATTTTTTGTGAATTATCACATCTTCACAGTAATAGGTCTAGGTAGTTTTTACCAAAAGTTAGATACAGCATTTTGAAACAGAATCAGTCACTAGAATCAAAGTTGTGAAACAAGGTGGCTTTAAATAAGTAGAAGTGCAGAAGACAGTTGTCTTTGAATGTCCTTAGGAGCAGCCCAGAGCCAAATTTATTTCCCTGGATGGATATGTCAAATTAAGTCTGGAGTTTCCATTGCTCAGTGAGAACTGTGACATGGAGTTTAGTTTATTTGTGAGATGACTGCAGATCAGCTTGAAAATGATTTTAGTCCCTCCAGGCTACCTCAAAAATAGAAGACAAAAGGTTTGAGAGGATCATGTTGCATAATAAAAACATCTGCAGTCTTGCATGCATTAAATAATAAGGGTCCTCAAGGCTTGCCCTCTTTGGAAATCTCCAGTGTCTTGATACAACTTGTGAGAGAGCTCTCCTGTTCACCTACGGCTAGAAATATTTTGGGGAACATAGAATTTAAAGGCAGATGCTATGTATAGGAATAAGATGATGTCATCTAAAAGAATGTTAGATAATTACTTTTATGGATTCTTTCTCTGGAAATTAATCCACAATTGGACCTCTGTGCAACATTAGGATAATTACCTACTTCTCTATCTTCACTTCAACTAATTATACATTGTTACAGATTTATCTGCTCTCTCCTATCTCTCAGATGCTCCAGATACAGTAATTAAACAACTTAGGCTCCTTTTTGGTCAAATTGCATTTAGTTCTCTTTTCTAATTTAACTGCCCAAAACCTATTCAGATTCCTTGTCCAATTTGGAGTCTGGATGAAGAGTTGATATTATTCTAATGTCCAAGATTTACAAAATCAATGTGTGCAACTTCTTAGTATTGTTCTTTTACCTGGTTCAGAATCCACATTTAGTTTCAGTTTTGTGATGCTTTTGAGGTTTGTTAAAGAGTCAGTTACTACTTGCTTTGTTTTAGGATCTTAGGCTTTGGTGCTTCTTGGTTATATCAGGAGTTTATCATCATATTCTGCACAGCTATAGCCCAATGCTTCATTAAATGGGTTATTGGTTCATGAATGAGTTCTTTGAGGGAAATGTGACCCCCATTCTACTAGAGAAGCTGGGTCACTGGCTAGACTAAGAATATCCCAATGCCCAGTGTGACATTAGAGAACTGTTTGAAGTTACAGGAATTTGGAAGGTTAGATCCTTGTATCCTATGTATATCATACCTGGTTTAATGGAGCCTTGGCTAACAGGCTTTCATTTAACGGACAGGAAAAATATATTAATTTATTAAATACTGTATAATAATATAGTTTCATGAAAAAAATCAATCAAACAATAAAAAAGAACCGACGATAAAGTCCGCCACATCTTTGTTGTTTACATCCTCTAAGCCAATCAGCGATCGTCTCAAAACGTATACAGTAGCCTGCCAAGATTAAGGCATTTATTGTACGGCATTTTAAAAAGCACGGAATAGCTAATTCGTTAGCTTTCCCGGACTGTCATTAAAAAATATGACATTGTACGGCGTCTTGGAAAGAACTGTTGTACAACGCAGTCTTCAGAAAACAATAAAATTAGGAGAACTGTTATTTGGACACAATACGAAAAGAAACAGTGAAGAAAATTATGGGAAGAAAGACAAAAAGGAAAAAAGTCAATCAATCAATAATAAATAAGAATAAAAAAAAATCGAGCCCATTGTAAAGGTAATTTCTCCCGGAACTATTAAATCACACGTAACATCCAGCAGAACAGCTGTACGCACCTTCTCTTGCGGCTAGGTGTTCGCAAATTTACACATGCAATACGTAAAACGAATTTCAGGTTCGTTTGTCTTAATTTTTGCACTTACAGAACTGTAATCAACTTGTTCATCCTTATTTAAAGTATCTTATGAGTAATGATATTAAAATTTTAATCATATTTGAGTAATTATCAATATTGTTACAGCAAAGTCACCAACGGCCAATGAAATCAGACAGCACCCACGTAAAAAGGGCGGAGCCTAAACAGGTTTCAACTAGGCGCAATCCTTTTCAATTCTTTCACGCCATACGCTTTGTTTTAGGTCCTATCCAATATACTATCGTATATAATTATTTTTATTATTAGATCACAGTTTTTTATTGCCTTACATGCCCCCAACTCTTTTATACTGTATTAATCAAAATATTCTCCATAAGCAGCAATGATCTGCGTATTTTCAGACAATGTTAGCTATTCAGTGCATCTGAAATGCCTTACAGTAACCGCTTTTAGTGTCCATTGCATCACAGGAGGTCTCTTCGTATTTTTACTATCTGTGTGTGTTTTGTGACCATTTTATGCCCATTATGTCTGGGAATTGGCCTGCAAGTGAGTGTGTTGGTAAACCAGCCATGGAGCCCAGGAAAGTCATTAGTATGGATGTGAAAATGAAAGTGATACAAACGGTTGAGGCAGGCAACTGTCAGGTCGATGTTAGTCTGTCATTTGGCTTGGCTTCTTCCACTGTTAAAACCATACTCGATAACAGCAAGATTTGAAAAAATTAACTGGTAAGTGTTATTAAATTTAGTTTCAGTTATTACTTATGTTAACAAAGTCTTCATTTCAATGTAAAAATTAAACATTGTTACCTCGTAACAGTCATTTTTGTTGTGTTATTATCGTTGCGCTGGAGTGGTTTGTTTTCCGCTTAATGTTTACTTTTTGTACAGAGACAGCAGTGGAAAATCACATGTATTTCTAAGTAACTGCAACATTTTTTATAACGTTCTAGACCTATTTGATACATTTAATCATTATTTAATCATTCTCTCAGAAAATATTAGTATCTAAAGGGATTTATTTATCATTTTGCCAAATTTCGCTATTAGCAAGAACCAATCTCCATAAGCATCATGTTATAATGGCCTATTTTAATGGATATTTCACTTACTGGACCAGCCTCAAGAATGTATCCCCCCTCCCAGCAAGGGTTTGGTGGTTATACAGTAGGCTTTAAGTTTTTATCTTATATAATATCACAAACTAAAGTTAGGAGAATATAATTTACATTGCTGGAATCCTTGCAAGACAGTGAATAATTTTAATATAAATGTCATTTATTTTGCACGAGATAAAAAAAATTTTCTCTGTAATAATATTCTTAAATTAAAACTAAAAGTTTTATGTCTAATGTGAGCTATAGCATGTTTATATTCAAATTAATCACTATCTTATAAGAATTCCAGCAATGTTAATTATATTCTCCCCTGTCAGTTCAGTGATATCATATAAGAGAAAAACTTAAAGTCTCTCTTAAGGATAGATAAATAAATAAGCACTAGACCTTGGCGTCAACTGTCAAACATATCACCTCACCTCCCCCCCCACATCTTCCCAGCCAGTAAACAGACTATTTCATGTCCCTTAATTTTAGCTGTGTTGATTTATGAGTGTTTGTTTTAACATAATACTACAAAATACAATGTTTTGTTTATTCTAGGAGATGGGCTGAGGTGCATCTGGGTAGACTCTCAGTCTTTTTAATATTTTGTGTTTCTCTCAAGTACCAAACTAAATTATTCCATTGAAACAACACTTCGATTTAGTGCAAATTCGGTTTAAAGAGACCTCTCTTGGAAAGTATCTCGCGTTATATCGACGTTCTACTGTAAAAGCTTTTAGTTTCAATTGTTGCCTGGGATGGATTTTAGGTCATAAAAGAAAGACTGTCCCTGAAACCCACTTTATGACTGAGTCAGAGCCATATTTACCATAGTGCAGCTGCAACAGGGTCCCCACAAAAGAAGACTTTTAATACTACTACTACTACTACTACTACTACTACTACTATTAATAATAATAATAATAATAATAATAATAATAATAATAATAATAATAATAATAATAATAATAATAATAATAATATTTTACTGTACTGTATATCATTTTGATATTGTTTGTTGTGTCAAATTTTGAGTACTATGTAGTAGTAGGATTGAAAGCACTGTACAGCATATAAAATAACTTCAACAATTTCTTCCAGCTGCACGAGTGGAAGAAGGGGGACCATTTGAAGAGCAAGATGGAAATTGACCCAGCAACTCAAGCTGATGCTGGTATCTACGAATGTCATGCCAACAATAAGTATGCAGTTGACACCAAAGCCTTTCGTACCACCTACATTGCACAGTTCAACTAATAGTTAGTGTTACTGATAGTATCAAAGGAAACTTATTAATTTATGATAAAATACAACAAATGGAAGAATTGATACAACACACAGTGCATTACTGTCTTGTATAACAATTCCAGTATGCGCCTATGTGAAGAACAACTTCTACTGAGAATGGGATGAACCTAATGTAAAACACTTGAAAGCATTTGTAAAGATATAATTTTGTTAACTACTACTTATGCCATGGTGGCAAACCTCAGGTAGTTAACAGTTAGCTAGCTTTGACTGAGTGATCATCAATGAACATAATGGCACGTAACAAAGTCAACTTGATCATATTTTCATTAATGATTTTACAAATTGAGAGCCAATCAGATGTATGTAATGAAAGTATAATTACTTTCTGGCATGAAATAATTTTTTGCATACACAGTACACAGTATCATACTGAAAACATATTTAGCAAAACAAATGACTGTAAATGTAACTAAAAAATTAAGATCTGGGTACAAAAATAACAATAAGCTTTTGTAGTGGACTGACAGACAATTATTGTACTACCATACAGTACACAAATACTGTTGCTGCCCCTGACATGGTATATGACTAAGCAGATGACTTAACTGAAAGCATTAATGAGAATGAAAAATGAGGGTTTATACAATATAAAATATGAAGTAATGTGGTAAATGCCCAGTGATTTTTCTAAATGAAGAAGTTAGAGAAGCATGTAAGATCTGGGTTAAATTCAAGGAATCTGCTGTGGTTGTAACAAAAATTTAATGTGGACTAAAGATGAGAGGTGCTGTAGTAAGAAAAGGGAACAGTACTGTATTGTGGATCCACTGTGCTGAGAGTGATACAAAAACCTAAGACTTAGAAACTAGTGAGGAAATAAGTGAGTATTTATGAAGAGGGTACGAGTAAACAAGCAAATAGATGTACTGTACTGCATAACAAAGAAAAATTAATGGAAACAATGGAAACAGGTTGTGCAGAAAGTAGAGGAGAATGGAGTTTAAATCTGTGCAGTATTAACAGATGAGTTTGTTTTGGAATACTGTATGATCAGTGGTTAAGGAGAACAATACATACTGTAATGAAGATGGAGAAACAAGAATGACAAGATTTTTTATCATAGCCATACACCATATGTAAGAAATGAAAGACCTACTAAATGTTAGATAAGGATAAACCAAATGTGTCTAATTTAGACCCAGAACAGGGTTTATCAAGTAGAAAAAATGCAAGGTGAAATATGACAAAGCTCAAAGAGCTGACTAAGTGACTTACATGTTAATAGGGTGTTACAAGTAAATTTTACTGCAATATTTGAGAGCATGGAATTTTGCTAGTATACCAAAGGATGGGATGGATGCTGTGATTGTACTATTTTTTTTCATGAAGATAACAATGCAGAGAATGAATGTGAAATTTATGCAAATATTTATCTATTAAGTGCAAGAGTGAATGCAAGGCATAAAGTAATATAATAATTAATAGAATTCAGAAAAAAAGGACAAAGGGAAGTATGAGCAAGATTACAGATAGGTTAGGATCTTTACTTAGGTGAAGAAAGTTGCATTGGGAAGCTGGTAAAATTATAATTGATTTTAAAAGAAGATACAGTACAGTAGAGACAGATATATGGACGTGTACAGATGGTGAACACAATATACATTCCTCCCTTTTTCTATGACTGGGTTATAAAAATGAGGCAACTGTTTAAAGGTTATGGTTGGTGTTACAAATAAAGTAATACAGGCCTAATTTGGGGTGTTGGTGGTACATTGGTAGTGCATGTGCCTCTCACCACTGCAGTTGTGAGTTTAAATCCCCTACCAAACATCTCCGGATACTCCAATTTCTTTCTATATTAGCACTGGTTAATGAAGGTTGTAACAAAGTAATAAAATACAGACTGACCGCCCAACATCTAGTGAGCTGAAAAGTGGTGAAAATAACAAATAAAAAATTTAATAAAAAAACATATACAAAATAAACCATGAAGAGAAGTAAGCAGTGTACTAGCTAGTTATGTGGGTAATTATAATACTAAAAATGCTGTATGATTTGCTGTATACAAATAATACTTATTTAAAAGATGACTCAATATAAGAAATACTGTACAGTACTGTACAGGATACCAGGCATCTTTAGAGTTATGTGCTGATACAGATTACCTTGATGTGAGTGCTCATCAATATGAGGGTTGTAATATACAGTTAGATGGTAAGAGATTTGTAAGGGTTCCGAGTACTGTACTGTATTTAGGATGCAACTTTGTTGAAGATAGAGAAAACAAATTATGATAAATTCTTTTCAAAGAGAAATAAGCTGTTGGTGTTCTGAGGAATGTTATAAGTATTAACAGCAGTATGTATATCTAGGCTTAATAAAAACTCTAAATTGAAAAATAAAAAAATTATCCACAATTATAAACAAAGCAGAGAGGCATAAAGACAGCAAGAAAAATGAGAATTAAGGCAAAGACTAACTCCATAATAGAAGTACAGTAATCCTTAGTAGTCCTCGCTAGACAAAAAAGGGGTGCGTTATGTGGAAGTTGTGTATAAAGAAAAAATTTGTAGAGAGCGATATATCCACTGACATACGGTACAGCACTGTTATAAATGGAGGATACAAGCCTGGTGTCTGATTCCTAGCCACCTTATGTGCCCAAAACTGCTCAAATTAAATAAAAAATCTTTATTACCGTAAAAAATTCAGAACATCATTAAATGTGTAATTAAATACACATTCACCATAAATACATTAAAATAGAAAAATGGACATCACATGGTATGATTTTTTTAGTCATTCATGGTGTTCTCTCACCCCAAGAACTTCTCTGTCACACATGAAACACTCTTCTTCCTCCCTTCTATTCAAATCAAAGAAACCTCTATTTTTGCCTGTTCACAATCACAATCAACTTTCTCTTAGTGCACATACTTCCGAACTTATTCAGTAAAATGTTTAAGTCTTCTTCTGATTCACCCACTAGAGCAATGTCATCTGCAAACAGTAAGTGACTAAACTTCCTTTTACATCCCATATCATTAATAGGCAAACTTGCACCCTTCTTGCTTTCACCTCTTGTACAGTACTATCCCATCTATAAACACTCTGAACTACAGTGGTACAGGTATTGCACATCCTTACTCAAATTTTATTTTCACTGGATACTGTTACACAAGCTTGACTCTGCCTTTAAAAATCCTGGACATCATTTTAACAGTTTCTCATTTACCCCATACAGTACTGTGCTCTTTTAATATTTCTCAAATCTGTTTCCTACACAGGTTGACCCTCCCTATCTTAAAACCTTGGGACCAGGGCCATAAGGATAATAGAAATTCCCATTAAATAAAAGGTTGACAAGTAGTAGTACGTTGCCTTCTCTACACCAAGCCTAATGCCCTGTAATGGTTAGAATTTCGTTTTGTACAAATTTTACTCATCATAATGAATAATTGTAATAAATAAATGAGTAATGTGACAATAATGCAGCATTTAATAAACAAATAAGTTATATGAAAATCACATTTAATACACATATACTGTACTGTATAATAAATGAAATAATAAAATAATCAATTAAAAATAAAACAAATTCACGCATCCCACACCATGGTTAGTCATACTGGGCACTTGTAATAATAATACTTATGATCTGATGTCCTTAAACAGTTTCGTGTTAATCTCACTCTCACCAACATGCCTCCCAAAATAAAAATTTCCACACAGAAACACTAACCGTGTGGAAAAAATTACCCAGCAAATGTAATACAAAAGAAAGGTGTGTGTATAAGCATTACTTAGGAGAGTGTTCATATCTGGAGCTAGTGAATGCCTGACCCACTAGAGATCACCTCATGTTATAAAAACCACAAGATCCGAAAATATGCCAAAGAAACTTGTGATGGCACCGAGTGTAAACTCATTAAAGACCAGACTTAATCAACACTGGTGCAGGTTCAGATACAATCTGTAGCCAGTAAATGCCCGGCACTTGCCAACAGTATGTAACAGACATGACCGACCACCCAAGTGGCTAACAGGCCAATCAGAGGCTTAGAGGATAAAGTAAAGTATAATCTCCATCTACCGTCACTTATCAACTGCCCACCCACCACTACCACCCTGGATCAGTTAACCAGCACTTCCATCTACACCCATTATTAACACTAAACATTTAATAACTGAAAGAATGCATAAAAAAGTTATATAAGTTGTAGTAATGAAGGATTCATTGAGAAGCTCGTGCCATTTTCTCCCTCTTATGGCCAATCGTAAACTGTTGTTCCTTAACTGCTTATGTTGTTCAACAATTCCTAATTTAACCTCTAAAATGACACACTCTCACTGTTTCGTGATAAACAAGGTGCTTGGTGAAGCACCGGGAGATCATGTTTGTACTCATTACTCACAATTTGGAGTGATTTCAAAGAAATAATTTCATACAGATGTAAACAACTCTCGTTACAAATGTCTTTTTATAATTATCTGGAAGGTTCTAGTAAAGTGTGCAAGATATAAAGTTATATACTGTATTACATACCAATATTTTAAAATACAATAAACATTTATATTTCTTTGAGAACCTTCAATTATTTCACGAAACAATTATTATGAATGAAGACAATTTTATGCAAAAAAATTAAGTTCCCCTTTGAGCTTTTTGAAGTTGTACACTGTATATGAACAAACATTATCACATAAATATTATACTGTATTCAGTGTCTCTCTCTTTCTCTTGGAAGAACTATAGCCAGGAGTATTTAATGGTCACTCAGGTTGAATGTGAGATGGGTGTTATCCAGTGTGACCCTACCAAACATTGCAAATTTTCTCCAGGTACTCCAGTTTCCTCCTGTACTAACACTGTAAATGAAAGTCATAACACAAAACAAACTGACTAACTGAATGGCTAGTTAACTGACAAGTGATGAAAATGAGATGTTTAGTTGTAAAGTGCTGTACAGTACCGTTGCCATGCCTGGCAGCATTGTGCTGCAGCTGTAAGATGTCACCGACTGTAAGATGTCACCAGGTAGTAGGCAGCTATCAAACAGGGAGGTACTACCGCCTGGGAAGATATTGCAAGCCATATGGCATCACAAAAATTGTGACCAAGTCCCAGGTTGCTAATTTGTCTTTCTACCTCATTTACACACAATTGTAGGGTTTCAATTGTTTCTCTTACTTTGATAACACAACACACATACAGTATTTTCTCAATTTAACAAACCTATTCAAGTCACCCCTTTCCGTTAAATTAAAATTTCCGCTAAATCGAACTTTCCGTTATTTTCCACGCCAAATGCACCATTTGGTGCATGGGGTTTGTTTACATCCACTCAGTCTGTGTCCTGTCACCACCACGTGTGTTGTTCACTGCTACCTCTCGGTCTACTTCTCAGTCAGCTAACTACTGTGCTTAGACATCATGCTAAAAGTCTCTCAGAAGTCTCATAAAGGATGTGGTGTGGGGGAGAAATTCACGAGAGTGCGGCCATCAATTGGATAAAGTTTGGAAATTATAAAGGTAAGCCATGAATAATGTTTCTGTGTACATATTATATGTCCCAGGTGTCTGCGTAGGTGCGAGCGTATTAGCGAAATTATTCTCAATTTAGCGAAATAGTTCACTAAATCGAGTGAAAAATAACGGAAAAAATTTCTTCCATTAAATTGAGAGTTTGTTATATCGGATTCCGTTAAATCGAGAGCATATTGTACAGTCAGCCCCAGGATTACGGCGGGGTTAGGGACCGACGACCAGGTCGTAAGTCGAAAATGTGAAAATAGTTGGTTCCAACTCACAGAAAAAGTACATACAAAGTAAAGCCGAAAAATGCAAAAAGTCAGAAACACTCCTAAAAATCCCCAAAATCGCTTGGGAACTTTGTGTTTTCTTCTTTCCTTGTGGTTATCAGCATATACCTAGATCACGCGCTCACCGAAAATTTCCTAAATTCAACAAAAATGGTAGAAAAGTTCACTTACTTTGAGGTGTGTATGTAGAAGGCTCCTGGACGATGATGATGGGATTTAGAATGGGGGTGGAGGAGAAGGAATAAGAGAAGGCACCCCATGGCGCCATTTCACCCATAAAATTTTAGCTCTCTTGGTGTAATTCAAGATTATTTTCTTTAAATCAACACTGCACTGCATTATATATTGTCAATATGTAAAATATATTTCAAAATGACCAATAATTTGCTTGGAAACACAGAAAAAAAGCGTTTAGTTGAAGAGAGTCTCAAGCAAGATGTTACCTCCAATGAAAACAGAGAGAGACTAACTCCTGTTTGCTGTGTTAAGAGGCTGGATGCCGCACATTAAACTAGTCACTTTACCTTCAATTATGTTCAATAATTGTTAAAATGACTAAAAAATTGAATATTAAACTTTTAAAATTATTGAATAGTATAAACTTCTTGATATTTACTAAAATAGTAAGGAATTTAAGCCCTAGAACCGATTAATGTATTGGCGGACTGATACTAAAGCTGGTTGCCCGTTCAGTACAAGCGAAAACATGTTGAGGTCGGTTCGTAAGAACTTCGTTAACCGAATTTTTTTTCGTTAACCGAATTGAAAATCCTTATGGAAGGCAGTTCGTTAATCGAAATTACGTTGACCGAGGTGTTCGTTAAACGAGGGGTCACTGTATATATATATATATATATATATATATATATATATATATATATATATATATATATATATATATATATATATATATATATATATATATATATATATATATATATACAGTGGGGTATGCTATTACGAATCTAATTGGTTCTAGGACCTTGTTCGTTATAGCATTCGTTCGTTATAGGATTAATCTGTTCCAGGCCCCCAATTACAACCACTTAACACTGAAAATATAATATAAAATTGTAAAAATTGTAAAAAAGTGCATAAATATGCTTCTAAACCCCTGAAATAAAGAATATCATTAATACTTGTAATAAAAAAAAATAAATTAGTAAAAAAAAAAAAAAATAATAATAATTAAATAATGTTCGTTCTAGGAGTTTCGCCCGTTATAAAGTATCTTCAATTTGGCAGGTAAAACCGTTCGTTATAGGAATATCTCGTAGTAGATCTGTTCGTTATAGCATACCCCACTGTGTGTGTATATATATATATATATATATATATATATATATATATATATATATATATATATATATATATATATATATATATATATATATATATATATATATATATATATATATATATATATATATATATATATATATATATATATATATATATATATATATATATATATATATATATATATATATATATATGCAAGTAAATCACTGTAGGTGCGCTGTGATTCAGGTATATGCTGATAACCACAAGGAAAGAAGAAAACACGAAGTTCCCAAGCGCTTTCGTGTAATTCACATCTTCAGGGGTGAGTACAGACTAGAGAGAGAAATACAAACCAAGGTGTATATATACAGAGGAGGGTGAGACCAGGTCCACAATGGTCAGGTATTAGGTAATGACCCTACTAATCTTTAAATAGCACACAACGGTTGGTGGTCAGGTCAGATGGTCAGGTGACCCGGCCTTCTCACCTGGTTACAAATCTTCTTAATTACAAAATTGTCCAGCTTGTACATGCCGTTACTCAAATTCATGTTGAATGCTTCGGTATGTTTAATAAGACTAGATTCTATGATGTTCCTACTATCAATTGAATTACATGGTAATATTGAGGAGGCATTATCCCAGTCAATGCAATGCTTGTTATCCCTCAAATGAACAAACAGAGCATTGGATTCCTGGCCTGTCCTAACACTGTATTTGTGTTGTTTAATTCTAGTTGCAAGATCTTTTCCTGTCTGGCCTAAGTAAAACATATTACATTCCTTGCAAGGAACTTTATAAATGCAACCAATTGTGTTGTTGGGGGAGTTCTTGATTAACATTTGTTTAACAGTGCATGAGTTTTTAAATGCCACATTCACATTCCAGGTTTTTAGTTGTGAAGGAATGTGTGAGAAATTTTGGTGAAATGGAAATATTAAGATATTCTTATGGTTTGTATTTCTCTCTCTAGTCTGTACTCACCCCTGAAGATGTGAATTACACGAAAGCGCTTGGGAACTTCGTGTTTTCTTCTTTCCTTGTGGTTATCAGCATATATATATATATATATATATATATATATATATATATATATATATATATATATATATATATATATATATATATATATATATATATATATATATATATATATATATATATATATATATATATATATATATATATATATATATACATTAGTACCCCACTTAACGCGGTCAATAAAGCCCACAGGGTACCGTGTTAAGTGAAAACCGCGCTAAGTGAACAACAGAACATATGGGATAAATTCCAATAGAAACTGGCCCGACCCCAAACTCCACTTTTTCCGAAACAATACCTATGTTCTAGTAAAAATAACATCTTAATTTTTTGATGGTACATGCACACAATTAATACTTAAGAGAAATAGAGAAATACAGTCGCCAAGTTAATGTCCATTCAAATAATGGACTCAACTCCCTCCCCCTCTTCTCACACTACACTCACTGGCTCTTCCCTCTGAGAAATTTTGGGGGAAACCCACTAAATTTTAATAAATAATACCACAAACTAAAGTTAGGATAATAGAATTGACATTGCTGGATTCCTTGTAAGACCAGGAATATTTTGAATATAAATGTCATATACTTTGCACAAAAGATAACATATTTACTCAGAATAAACATTACATCTAAAATTTGTATGTCTAATGCAAAATCTATGATGTTTATATTCAAAATGATCATCAAATTGTAAGAATTCCAGCAATGTAAATTATATTCTGACCGGGTAATTTGTATGAATTTTATGAGCTAAAACAAATATCTTCAGTTAATAAAAAAAAAATATATATTCTTCACACGGTAACAGATGGTCGGTCGGTCCCTCCCTCCTCCCCACCCCCCACCAACCCTCCCTACCAGATGTGTGGGAAAACCAGAATATTTACATTTTTAGTAATAAATAATACATCAAACTAAAGTTAGGATAATATAATTGACATTGCTGGATTCCTTGTAAGACCAGGAATATTTTGAATACAAATGTCATATATTTTGCACAAAAAATAACATATTTACTCAGAATAAACATTACATCTAAAATTTGTATGTCTAATGCAAAATCTATGATGTTTATATTCAAAATGATCATCATATTGTAAGAATTCCAGCAATGTAAATAATATTCTGGCCGGGTAATTTGTATGAATTTTATGAGCTAAATAAAAAAATTATACTTCACCCGTGTAAAGGGGTACACCCACCGCGGAATGTGAGCATCCTGGGTTCTGGCAGGGCACCGTGTAAACGTGGAAACGCGGAATGTGGGACCGCGTAAAGTGAGGGTTGACTGTATTATTTAATACTAAATGTTAAAATCTAGTTTTTTCACCCAACCTTTCTCTTGAAGGGAGGGTTGGGACGGACCGACCATCTGGCCGGTTGGAAGAGGGGGGAAGGCAAGGTGGGGTACTTTGATTGACAGATAG